TTTTTGGGGTAGGGACAATTGTATGAGTCAGCTTTTCCACATCTTCTGGAGCCACTCATAAGTGTGGGTACATAGGTAGATTTCCACACTGCTGCTGTTGTTGTTCAGGTTTTCTGTGATTCTGTACTCATAATTGAAAGCCATGTGCCCTGAGAACAGGGGGAAGACAATGAACCAAAGATCAGGCACACATGCCATAACCCACAATATTTTTCAGGGTTTTTTCTGCTGATTTTTTCCCCATCAAGTTGCATGCTGAGGTGTGCCATTGACTTTTTTTGCGGATAGGGTAGTCTCTGGTCTTAGTAAACCAGCTTCTTAGGGATTCAGTTTTACTCAAAATACAAGGCAGACGCTACTATGATAGCCAAATATACTGTCTCAAAGAAGTAGCAAATAAACGCATCCCATTTGTCTTCAGGTTAATTTGGAAGATGAGGTTATACAGCAGAAAACACATCAAGCCCTACTACAGGTTCTTGGGAAAGTTATGTTACATTAACCCAACTCTGCAGCTCTGGAACTTGAGAGCAGCAGCAGAAATGGCCAAGTAGCTTCCAGCTGAGTTTTATACAGCAGCTTGATTTAATAAAGCATTGTTCTCTGTTATATTGAGGGTCCTAGGGCTGTAAGCAGCACAAAATCAAAAAAGCCTACGGGAAGTTTAAGCCTCAAGCAGAATAAGCATATTTATTAGTGTGAAAATTTACCAACAATGTTTTCAAAGGCACTTAAAATGGAAATCTGCATGTCTCATGCTGAAGCATCACAAATGAAATAAAACACCAAACAACTTTTCAGTCTGACTAAGCCTCTTCTCTTTCCACCTCCTAGCCCATCTCTGAGGATAGCACTGAATGAGTTTTATTTTAGTCTGCTGGGAGGTGCTAGGTTAAGGACATATGAAAAAGATGTGATTTTCTCTTTATAAGAGAAAAGACCATACACGTAATTTCTTCTGTATTTCCACAAGCAACATGCATGAAAAGTTTAAAAACAACTTCAAAAATCTTCTGGAAATATCCACATGCTGGAAAGATTGAAACCATCTGAGTTGTGGGTGTTGCCATAAGTCAAGGACACTTCTGAACACATGTAATGGCTACTCTCATTAGCCTTGATGAGATGAAGTGTATCTGAGAAGTTTGGGGTAACAAGTCCTATCACAGTGGCATGTGTGTTGCACAGATGAGATCTGCCATAAACAGTTCAGTTTTGTGAAAGGCATGTTTTATAACCCTTTGGCTTTAGACCAAATGATAACGGATTCCAGTCCAGGTGACTGTGGTGGCTCAGACACATTTACAACATTGGCTTACCCTGTACATCACGTGTTCATTTTTCCATTCTCCATGTCCTTTGCTACAGGACATAAGAGGTTGATACCCTCAGCTCCTTCCAGTCTCATTTAGTCTGAATTTACAGCTGCAGCAGAACAATCCGGTTGGCGTCTTGTTTTCAAGATACACCGTCTTCTCTACCTATCTGCATTTTTTTCAGCAGCAAAAGGTCTTCCTCACCCTGTGCAAATATCTTCGTACACTAGTAATCGTTAACATTTTTAAGCCTACCTGCCACTTTCCCCCCCCCCCTCCAAACTAACTACTGAAATGACAGCATGACTATTCTGCAGAGAAGCCACACGGAGCTGCAAGATACGCTGATTACAGGAGGTGTGTCTCCCAAAGCGTGGTCTTTGACAAAGCACTGCCGTCTGCACTGTATCGTAATGACTGTTCTCTCGTTGGTGCCTCAAAGCATTTGGGTTCCCATGTCAGATATGAAAATGAATAGCCATTTCTTCTGCAGGGTAGATGCAACGCTAGAATTGCCTGAACAGTATACTGTAGCCACCCTAGCCCAATCTGGGGCCTCCCATTGGATTTTATGAACAGAAGAGGGTTGGGTCTGGCTGATAATTTGGGAAAGAGATGAGAGGGGAAACCCCCAGCACGGCAGGAACTGATGTTACTGAAACAATAGCTGGAACTCTGACTCATTGCTGGAGCAATGTCCAAATGAGCATCAGAGGACATGCTGTACTGCAGAAAGAGCCAGCTTCTGTATAAGCTGCACACCAGGAGACCTGAAAAATGCTTAATTTTGAAAAAGTTAAAAATCCCTCTACACATTTTTCAAGAGTGAGATCAATATCTCTCAGGTGGTTTTAGATTTGCTAAATACATTTTGCCAGACTCCAGCAATTTTAACTGGATTTTAGCCTGTCCTTTGCTTTTCTGTTTTCTACGGTGGTAGGGTAATGCACCTTAAACAGTATTAACAAGTTTCTCTGTATTCACTTACAATATAGCAAATCAGTGCTTTAAAAGTATTTCCTGACTTAAGCCTTATGATCATGAAGAAAGTTTGAAAAGTCTGGTAAGACGAGTTCAAGAGGTCTTGGATTTGTTAAAATGCCATAAAGGAATGCTCTGTTTGGGGCAGGCAGACAGTCTGATTATGTGCCTAGTATGATCACAAAGCCAGGAGGAAAATAGAGAAAAAACTGAGCTCACCTGCCTGCCTAAGGCCAAACTTTTTGTTTCTTAATGCAGCTCTGCTCTCACTACCTGAATGAAATCACACTTGGAGAAAGCATGTCCTTTAGCTCAGAGCTGCAGTCACAAGACTGCCTTTTCGTTCTTGCTACAGAGGGTTTTGCATTTCAGGAGTTGATGAAATAATTCCTACGTAAGGTAAAAAGGACTCAGTTCAGCTAAATAGAATAGATTTCTCCAAGACTTCAAGTGAAAATTAAGAACTGCAAAGCAGTTTAGGCAAAAAGCTCAGTTTCAGGGGAAGATATTATTCACTGCAGATTTTTAAGAATGAAAACACCAGCTGAGTCAAACTATCTCAAAGACAGAATATTTTATGTATGAACAGCTTAATAAATGAAAAAATGTGTAAATCTGCTCCTTCTAGAGCATTATAAAATGGCATTACATAGGAGATTGATTTCCAGAGCTCCCAGGAGAATGCCCTCTTTTCCTGATACACATGTCTAAGCACCATTAACACTGTTACCAGGGGGACAATATACATGTCAGTATAAAGTACATGATCAGAACCTTCTGAATTACAGCTCCTTAATTAGTGTCCCTGTGTCAATTATCCCATTCAGGATGTCAAATATTTCATGAGGATTAAATTTCAAAATACACAGTCCCTCTGATATATACAATCCCAAATGGCTGCTCAAACATATATCAATGTTATTATATCACATACAGCAGGTAAAAGATGAAAGTCTTCCACATAGCTCTATGATTTTAAAGCTACCATGAGTTTGATACCACTTAATTTGGCTCTGCAGTTGCATCCATATTTTTTTTACTTGTGGGGATACTCACTGTACGAAACAAGAGAAAAAAAAAGATTCAGGTTTTCAACCAAAAAAGGATTCAGGTTTTCCTTTCCGAAATAGTACCAATATTGTAATGCAATACCCAAACTGAACCTCTCTGGTCCCTGAATCCAAAACTAAAGGGCAGAGGAGAGAAGGAGAGGAAGAAGAAAGGGGCTCTACAATGCCAACATCTGAGAATTTGCACATTTTTCACTGCCAGGGAGTAAGGAACATGCATGCGCGCGGATGGGATGTGAGCAAATCCAGTTAGAAGTGTTTGGGCTTTCAGATTAAATCAAATTTCCTCTAAGAAATATGGGTTTCTTGATATATATTAATATTTAAGTTATAAAACAAACTTTGCCTCCATCTATTAAAGCAAGTAGATCTCTAGGTGAGCAAAATAGCGCTGAGCACATTCAACAGGACAGAGGTACACACCTAAATTAAAATCTCTGTGTAGTTCTCAAACTGGGGTATTTCCAGAATGAAGATGAACTTGTGAATCAAGATATGGATTATTTTACACCGAGGACAGCTTTAATGTCTCACAAATTAAAATCTTTTAAAGTTTAATGTTTGGTTTAACTTGTTAACCTTTCCCTGCCACAGATGTCTCAATCAAAAAGTGGTTACATAAAAACACCCTAATGAGCAAATTTACTGACTGAAACCAGGACAAAGAATTTTAATTGACTATTCAAGCAAATGCACAGAAAGCAACTTTTGAGGTTATAATTGTAAATATTGTGTCAGAAACTCAGCCCTCAGAATGACACTCGTCTCTTTGAGATAGAAGCAAGTACTAGCAAGCCTAATCTGCTCAAATTTTGTCATTAGACCACACAATAGACTACTCTTGAACAAGCAACAACCTAGAAACTAGTCCCAAAAATAATTAAGGAAATAATTTAAAATATCAAAGGAAAGAGGATCACGTTTGTCTGCAAAGAGGCAAAATATAGCAAATAAGTTGTGTATTACAAACAAATATCCAGGGTCCCAGTCAAGGGTTTCTTGTAGTTCATTTGTGCTGTAATAGAGTGAACTAAAATAAGAGATTAGAAAGAGTCAAATATTATGAATACAAAGCTCTAAACTATAGCATCTTTTAAGATCTCAGGCCAGACTTTAGAAAGAGGGGAAAGAAATAAAAAAAAAAAAACCAAACCACCACACAAAAAAACCACCAGAAAAATCTAAATGATACCAAAATGCCTAGAAGAGCTTTACACATCTATAAACTACATTTTACCAAGTAATTTCAAGGATATTTCAAAGACCTGACATTAAGCTCCTGCCCTCACTGCTTTCTGTAAGGAGGAACTCCCCTGTGGGATCTGTGAACTGTGAAGACAGGGAATCTTTTTAGACATATACAGAACAAAAAGTACAGTGTGGTTCCTCCCTATGCTCTCATCCCAAAGCAGACCCAGAACACAACTCCAATACAAATAATATCAATCACCATTGACAACAAAGTATTTTCCCATTAAAATGGATCCCTTGTCCAAATTACATTTTTCTTACATTTGCTATTTTATACCAACTCTATTAATAAAAGGCAGATATCATTTTCATCCTGTACTATCCATTTTAGCAGTGCCTAAATTCACCAATTCATCAGCATACATTACTCTTTAATAAGCCAAGGTCAAACTAATTTCCTCCTCCTAGTGCTCTCTCCCCCACAACTTCTTCACGTGTTTCAGCTTTACTTTGAAGTGACTTCCTTGCCTGGCATGCTAAAATCCAGAAACAGAGTACCTATCATTATGACTGCAGTTCATGCCCTGACTAGTCACAGCAGAAGGAGAATTAGACTATAATCTCCTAAACAATGTAGAATCTGTAAATCAAAACCAACCAGCTCTTTTTGGCATGTAGATCAATGAGCCACTGTGGGGGTATGAAAATCCAAGCAACTCTTCTAAGATAAAGTCGACCTCAGTGTATGAATTTGTTTAGTTTGAATTTTTTTTCTCCTCTGCACTTTATCTCCCCAAAACAAGTCGTCATAAAATAGTTTTTATTGCATTCTGAAAGACAGTAGCTTCTGCTGGACCAGATAGCAAAACAGGCACATACAAACTTAAGCTTAGTATACAGGCAGTACAGAGATTCAAAGCAACCTACCTTCAGTACTACCCCACTTAGCTCTCTTGATGGTAAGGATGTTTGCATTTCTCTGCTCTAAATATAAAAACAAACAACAGTGACTGTTCTAATCAAAGGAGTATTAACACGTTGCCAAAAAATTTACAACGCATTAAAACATTTATACAAATCTAGAGTCACTGAAGAAACACAAACTACCCATAGCCATTTACAGAAAATATCTAGAGAGTGAGAGGAATGGATTTGTGCCTGATAGAGAGAGTAACGTACAGCTTTTTGGCATGGAACAATAATTTCCAGAACACTGTGTGTGATGGGTTTCTACTTGCAGAAGTGAAGCCCTATCATGCTGACTGATATGTCATCATGCACACAATTTAACCGGGATAGGCCAAGTCCCACTGGAATTCACTGACACTTTGTATTGTAATTTACTTAAAACCTCACAGGTGTACATGGAGCTCTCTTCAAGTAACACAGGTGAGCCTAAATATAACTCCCCAAATAAGTGTCCATGAGACCAAACTTTTCCTTATCTCTTATAGTGAAAAATGTCAAATCAAAGGCTTGTGGGAAGGTGTTTTCAAGTAAAATTTTTTCTCTCTAGTCCTCTTTGGCTTCTCAGCTTTGTTGTCTGCTAGGTTCATCATGTTTTCTGTGTTTTGTTCCTTAATGGCTGCAATGCTCTGGGAAGGGGGAGGGTGACAGACGCCGATCTGCTGACCACATACACCCAATATGTGCTTCCTAAGTCTTCCTCTTAGTAACATTTCCAAAATGGAAATTTAACAACTACCATAAACAAAAAAAAAAAAAATCTGTAATCCTAACTCCTCTTTCCACTCAATTTTTCATGCCAACGTGGACCAGTGTGGAAAGAGAGGGCCTCCAGAGTATCAGCTTTAGTAGATGGGGACACATAGGATAGCGTGAAACAGTTGGAAGGCCAGGTTTAAACATGTAACCTGAAACACTGGAAACTAGAACTCACAGCGGGTCTTAGCAACAAAATCAACAATATAGGCAGCTCATGACATGTGATCACCAAAGCAGAAGCAAGGTTGCTTAAATATAGCCCCTGTAGGTATTAGAATATTTCTGAGAAGTACACATCAAGCATGAGACAGATGCTACTAATAAGTAGAGCTTTAGACATTTATTTTTGTATTTAAATATCCAGCTATATTTATCTGAAAGACTTAACCATACCATTCTTGAGAGAAAGGTATGCCAGTTACTTACTGCTGTCTAGACAAAAAGATTTAAAACTGGAAAAGATAAAACCTTTGTAAAGGAACATGGAAAAGTGCTTTAAGAATCCATGAGAATCTCTGCACTTGAGTCCCCAGAGCTCTGGCTTTAAGAGATTTGTCTATTCAGGAATTTAGTATATTCGTTATTTCATAAACAGTTTCCTAATGCTTGTTCATGAACCTAAATTGTTTGAGTTTGGGGGCAGAGGTTAGTAAGTTACGAAAACTCTAGAAAGCTGGGGAAATCAATCAGTCTTACAGACAGGAGTGATGTCTGATGATCATCTGACACTTTTGAAGTTGTGGCCATGGTGTGGTGAACCACTTCAAACTAGGATATAAAGATATGAATCATCTACAGTGAGTAAACTGTCCCACTTCCAAATTTCCTGAGAAAAAAAAAAGAAACAGACTATCTGGACACTCATCCTAAGTGTTTGGACAGCTTTAAATGATCCTGTGATCTCAGTGAAGAAATTATTCTTGAAATGAGTTACATGTTTCACCTCTATTTATAGCATAACCATAAACCAGACCTGCTAAACAGAGGTTTCCCAGTCTCTGCTACAGATATTTGGTACCATGTGGTACATGAAGCTGGAAGGAAACAGCATACAAAAGAGTTACCACAGACTTCAAGGAGCAGAAAGGTATGAAGAATTTCACAAGCTTCTCTAAATATTCAGAAACTGATATATTTTTTGGATAGTGGAAATATTTCTCCACCACTACACCCTCTAAGCATTTAATCACCAGCCTAAACAATAACAGACTGAGAGCAGTGTTCAAGTAACACTTCAGAACTTCAGGTCCCTATCAAAAGAGAGAGCTCCAGATAGACACAGGAATTAAGCTGATACAATTCATTCCTTGGTCACCCCATTTGCAGTGCATAAAATAACGAAAGACAAAGTCCAGGTTATAAAAAGTCAGCGCACTGGCTTTACAGAACTCATTCTCCCATTATGCTGGGTATGATGTTGAAGTTCAGGCCATGGACACAGTGCACAGCAGTGCACAGGACACAGTGCTCTGCGTGGGTCTCTTTCAACCACGAGCTCCTGAGAGAGCTGCAGTCCAAGAGTATACGTAAAGGTGGCATGAGTCAGACAGCTTTCTTTTCCCAAAGCTTTCCATGGGCAATTGAGTAAGAATTAATTTTACTGAATACTCACCCTTATTCCCTAATCAGATCAAGTCACTTCCGAAGTTACAATTTATTTCATTATATTTATAATAGTGATCTTTAAATACTTCCTGGTATAAGTCAATATAAGTTTAACAAAAAAATTCACACAGCAAGAATGCTAAGCAGTAACTTCACCAAATCTAGTTCTTGTACACAGGGAAATATTGCTCATTTTGACTAGGAATTTTTCCAGTGACTCACTAGATCTCCTCGTGGAACTGGCTACTATTTGAGATAAGCAAAGTTGCAAAACCTACTCCTATCTTCATATAAAATTATAAGAAGTAGAGCTGGAAAGGACTTTAAAAGGTCATCTAGACTGTTCTCAAGGCAGAATTAATATTCATGTCACTTGCTACATATATGTGTTCTTAATGATTGTGACTTCACCACCTCTCCAGACTTACCTGTGTTTACTCTTAGATTTTCCTAATAACTATTCCCCTGGTGTAATTTAGCTTGTTATTTCTTTTTAAGTCTATCATGAACAAAAAGGACATATTACCTCTTTTCTCTTCACAACAGAGTGGTTCTTTTACATCTTAATTATTGCCCTGACCTTTCCATCTCCTTTTTTGAGTGCTTAATAACTTCAATTTTTCAAGTTCTCCTTGGCTACACTGCTCCAAGCTGAGACCTTACCAGTATAAATTCCTAGAAGATTACTTCTGCAGGCTACATTCTGGTTTTCATATACATACTAGCTGGTCACTTAGCTTTTTAATAATTCATCAACTCATGTTTAATTTGATTCACATTCCCAGATCTTTTCCAGAGAACTGCTGTCTATTGTGTTACCCCATCTTGTATCTGTGCAGATTATTTCTGCCTAACACTTTGCATTTTTCCCTATTGAATTTAATCCTATTTTTTTCAGATGATTTCTCCAATTTGTCAAGATCATTTGGGATTCTAATTCTGCTTTCCACATGTTCAGAAACCTCCATCTCCTGTCATATGCAAATTTACTGCATATAATATTATTCTTTCATTCAGATAATTCATGAGAATATTTAACTATATTTAATTGACAATAACTCCCTGTAGAAACTTCTCAGTATATATTTCAATTAAACAATATAATTAGGTCATTATTATCTATTTTCACTTTTAATTCAGCTTTGCATCTACTCACAAGACTTCATTTCCTTAGCTTTCTGATTAGGGAACCATTCAAAAGAGTCCCAAAACCTAAGTAACATAAGATCTGGAGACTTTGTCCTCTCTACCTGTGGGTCTGTTACCTCATCATAGGAGGAAGTCAGTTTGCTCTTAACAAATTATTAGATATGCCCTCTCTCCATGCTGTGTTGTAGTGCTTATGAATGATTAGAAAGTTTATTGCACAATATTTTCAGAGAGATTTTGGTGATTTTATCATTGAGCATGAACTGACAATCAAGTATCAGCATGCAATATCATGCCAATTAATTTTAACCAAAAATCAGAAGGACTTTTGAATTCTTTGTCAGCAAAACATTCTTCAAGTATTCACTATTATAGGGGCAGCATCTGTAAGAGGTCTTGAGTACATATAGAACCATGCACCTCATATAAAAGATGTATCTCATTGATCAGCATAGTAGAAACATCCCCCTATGCTGATTTTTGTCTCAATGCAGCGTTGATCGGAATAAAGGCACTCATAAAATATATAGATACCATGTGGTCATGAATCAGTTATGCTCGGATCACACTCAAAGCACTTATGTCATATTGTTGACTCTTCAACCACCTGCTCTTGACAAGGAGGTCTGGCACACAGTCTTTGAAGCATACTTGATTTGCTTCAGTCATGCTCTGTTCTGATTATAAAATAAATTGACATCATTTTCATATTAGCATCTTTTGAATAGTTAGCCCTATCTGTACATATGCATAAATGAGATGGAAAAGGTGCAGAAATACATGGTTTCTTTGGATTAATAAGTCTTTTGCATTAGTCAGATGATATAGACTATCTAAACACACATCTGCCAAATTAACATTGGGTTAAAAATGAAGCGGCACAACATCTCTGATCAGATTTACTACTAAAATAGATGATCTACTTTTCATTTGATGTCAAGTCATGTGGAAGACCGGGAGGCATTCAAATGTAAGAATCCAATAGAATCACCCTTGGAAATAAAGATGTTTTATTATTAGACTTTATGCAAAATAAAATACAAATTTACACATTATATATAAACAACTCTGCACATAATTAAAATAAAACCCCTGCTAATCCTAACAATGGTCACTATATTTATCCTGTGTCTAGGTGTGGAGTTTGTCTGCACTAATAGGAGGGGAAAAAATGTAAAAAAGAACTGTTCATAATGAATCACATGAGAATATAAATCAATTTGTAGATCAGTATTCCCAGGATCTATTGTATTTGACCAAGAGCATTACTGAAGTTTTATGTTCACAGATGATCTCATGCAAAACATATTGCTGGAAGAGCATCTTCACTTTTGAAAGGATGCTTAAAAAACAGTTGGAAAGTAGAATTTCACAAGTTGTTTAGGGGAAAATTTTCCCTTTAGTAATCTCATTTAAAATTGAGTTATTCCAGGTTTATATTACATAGTGAAAGTAAAAAAAAATATTGTCTTTCATAAATAATACATAAGGCTCTTGCTGGCCTTTCATTTCTGGTGTTACCTTTGTTGTCTTTGCAAGGAATTGGATAATTATGGGGTTCTCTACTTGCAAATTTATCCAGAGTCTCAGTTGCTAGATTTCCTTCACCCAACAATCTCATTCATTCAGGTTTAAAAATACTTTATGTAAAAATATAACATATTCTTCATGAATTTGCAGCAATAGGAAAAAAAAAAAGAGTAAATGTACTTGAGACTGACATCTGAGACCAAACACATTCACCTGCGAGACTGTCTTATTGGACATGTAAAAATTTCACAATTCAATAAATATGGACCAGGAGACCGTAAATGTCTCAAACCACAAATCAAATCTACTGAGGTCTTAAAGAAATGTTCAAGTTACACATGGCCTTCAGGACTGTCAGTTGGTCCATTCCAGAACAAGAGGAGTAGTGCTGTCAGGAGCAGTGATGGTACAGAAGGAAAATAATCTCAGTACAATTACCAGTTCTGAGGATAAGAGACAAATATCTTTCCATGTAGCTACGATTAATCAGTATTAATACAGTTGGTAAGATTTAGCAAATAACAAAACTAGAATTTTGTAACCAGGTCATTTATTACCATCCCTTCATTCTTTTTAGCCTATTACTGACTAACTTTAAAAGGATGAGATGTCATGGTCTGTGTGAACTTTGAAGATGCCATCCTACTGAACAATAAATGGAAAAGATTTGACAGATAAGAAAATCACATACCTGCTTCTCTTCAACTACCTGAAGGGAGGTTATAGCCAGGTGGGGGTTGGTCTCTTCTCCTAGGCAACCAACAATAGGACAAGGGGACATGGGTTCAAGTTCTGCCAGGGGAGGTTTAGGTTAGATGTTAGGAAGAAATTCTTTACAGAGAGGGTTATCAGGCATTGGAACGGCCTACCCAGAGAGGTGGTGGATTCACCATCCCTGGAGGTTTTTAAAGAGATTGGACGTGGCCCTTAGTGCCATGATATAGTAATTGGAGTTGGATCAGGGGTTGGACTTGATGATCTTGGAGGTCTTTTCCAACCCAATCTATTCTATGATTCTCACTAAGTAACTGCCTACAGCTACATGGAGCAGGGTAACTGCTTTTTTCCCTCACCCCCACTCCACATCAAACCTACCCTTAAGGCAGTTTCCTGAAATGGCACTTTCATCTAATGGGAAAGTATATTATGGGACACAGAGAAAACCTATAAATGGTATCAAGGCTAAACTCCCCAGCTCTGGACCCCCATAACCTGTTGTTAATCTAGTCACTGAGGAAATGGTGGTATGATGATAATTACTTCTCAGTTCCTCCAAAGGAAGTGCTGCATGGTATACTTTAAATAGAAGGAAAGAATACTGTCTTTTTAGTATTTTTATCATGCATTGTTAATGCACTGCATTCCTGTGGTGCATTCCACTGTGATGAAGCCAAGGGTACTGTCTACCTGATGAATCTTAAATGGGCAGCAATTTACAGTCTGTGACTGATAAAATTTATCCCACTATAGGTACCACTGATCCTGCTATATTCTAAGTACTTGTAACAAGAAAAAAAACACCTGTCAGACCAGAACTACGAAGAACCTTCCAAGAGACTGATGAAATGAGGCTCTTTCCATTGATTTCAGTGGGCAGTGGGGAAGGATTTAGGCAACGTTACTAAACAGCAAAATTCCAAAAATGTTTGTTCCTGAAAAATACCCACTCATCAATAGGAGAAAATTCCAAGACATTCACCAAGAGTAGAAAAGGAAGACTTACAAAAAAGGGAATTAGACTTTATAAATATCTTTCTTTTAAAATGAAATAAAATATTATATATATAGACAAAGGGACTGTTAATGTAGGTCAGGATAGGCCTATATTAACTAGGATGCATAATTCAAATACAGCCAGCAGTCACGGTGTCAGAAATGCACTAAACTCAAGTTTTGTGTGGTTTATAATTATTTTTGTCCACTATAGAATGGATTCATGCTGTGAAAGGGTCATACAAGTCTTGAGAAACAACAAATCATGGTGCAACAAGGAGGCTGCTATGCTTTGGTTTCTGCATGTACCCTGAGCTGTTCAAATCTGGCTATAGTGAGAGGATGGCATGGTGTGTCAGAAGACTAGAGAAGCTTTACTTCACAGCAGCAGTGGAAGATTTTATTGCCTTCAGTGCATATGTGGTTAGTAAGCACAAATCCCTTTGCCCACTGCTCTATGAAGACACCTGCAAACAATGAAGTGAAAACAATACAAGGATCCTCAGGTCACAAAGGGCATGCAGATGTCTATGGTTTGCCTGCCTGCCTTCCAGTAGGGTTACCCAAGTCCTCACCATGCTGAGTCTCTGACTCATGTCTAGAATCTTTTGTTCACTTTGGAAGATTATGCCTCACCCTTAGCCAAACTTCTTCAAGCATCTTTAGTCCAGAGGGTGAACTGCAAATTCTGGAAGATCAAAGTTCCTCTTAAGATTTGAGTAGCTTATTTCTTCCTGTGAGTCAAAACAATGGAAAGCAGTTCATTCCTCTTTTTGCTCCTGTAAATTTGCTTCTTCCCATGGAGACAGATGAGGTGGCAGCAGATGGAATTAGACAGTCAAACGTTTTGAATGTGTCCTGTGCAGCCCACTGCACTCTCAGGAATCGAGAGCAGCTAATCTTGTAAGGGAAATGAGCACATCCTTCAAAATCAAATACCTGGCATC